TTCACGACTAGGCATCGCCAAAGCTTCACAGGGGGTGAGGCATATATTTAAGTCTTTTGTCCATTTCTGTGTTTATTATTTATTATTTTTTATTCATTATTATTTTTTACTTTATTAGTAAAAGTTAAGTTTAGATTATTATGTAAGATATAAACTTTAAACATTCACAGAGCCTTCATTCTCTGGGCAGCTGTGGCTTCAGGGTCATCCACTAATCAATATTTACAGGAAATAATCATTCAAAATTCATCCAAATCTCTGGTTTTACACAACCTTCCTGCATTATTGTGTTTACTGTTTGGGTTCATTGTTCAGTTTATCAGCTGTTCTCTACTGTTTTTGATATTGATCAATAGAATATGAAATAACTGTAACTTGTCAGTTTAGTAAATGATAGAAAAGGACTCCCTTAAAGAAGAGAACCATTGAACCATGAATGTGGGAAGTAGGGGTGCTGAAGGAGCCACAGTGAGAATGTCCCACTGAATTGAAGTATCCTAAGACGTCAGGGCACATGGTCAGATAGACAGAGTTCAATACATCCAGCTACAGCAGGAGTACACAAGGTAACTGCCACATGTACAGAGACACATTTAGGCCATCAGTACAACACTATGTGTGGTTTGGTTACATCTAGATCTAGATTATGAAATATATCTGGTAACTAAAGGTCTCTGTACTTTTGGCAGACTAGTAATTTGTCACAGAGCATTTTCGTATGAAATCAGTTTCTCTGAACACTAGGCCTGCAGGTAATGAGGAAAATCTTTGATGTGCAAGAACACTGTTCAATATTATAATGATAATATGACTGGAAATTAATAAAAGCATAATGAAAAGAGCATATTAGCTGTACAGTTCATACCTGGTGGATGGAGAAGATGTCTCAGGTTTACATGTTGATGCTTGTTCAACAGTGTATCAATAAAGTGTTGACTTTTTCTAGCAGCAGTTTTATTGCACTTCCAATAATGAGAGCAGTTGTCGTCACTTCGTTTTGTTCACTTTGAAATTGTGTTGAAATTAGGAATGCTGTTCGTTACCTTAGAATGAACCATTTTTATCTACAGAGGGAGTGGGTCCTCTTCGACAGAGTCCGCCACGTTTGAACTATATGTTTCTACGGACAAACCAAACCCTGGCTCGAGGTAGGGATACTGTTGGTAGATAATGTAGGTTGCAGTTGGTTGCAATCTGCAACTTTACTGCTAGATGCTACTAAATCCTACACAATGGACCTTTATGCCAAAAGTACCAGTAAATACTCCACCATGAGCTCTGCATTCTAAACCTTAGTAAGGTGAAAGTATACAAGTATATTATAGCATGTATTATGTATAGCATGCATGTATGTATTTAAAGTAGTCATAGTGCCGTAAAATGTTCCCTGTGAGTGTTTTACTGTTAAATCTATATTTTATTTGATTATTTTCACCAGGACAGTAACCAGTTGTTGCACAAGAGTTAGCTAACAGCTAATTTTCATCTGTTGCCCCTGGTCAGATAGACCAAAAACAACCACAAAACCACAGACCTTCAGCGAGAAAGCTGATTGACCAAAGGCTGTCTTCCTGAACTGCAGCACCTAGTCGCCCCTTGCAGATGCTGTAGCCAGACATCCTCTAAGAGGACGGGGTGCAAGATTCTGAATCATTTTAAACATCAGGCTCACATCAGAACAGAATAAGTTATTGAAATTGAGTGGAAACCTGACAGATCACACTTCATGTAAAAGGAAACACTTTGCCATGTGAACATAAGCATAGCGGCAGAGATCATAACCACACTGCTTCTTTTCTGGAAACCAAACACTACACGTTCATTTCCTGTTTTCACAGGTCTTCATCATGAAGAGATTCAACTTTCAGTCTGAAGAGAATCAACGAGACTTCAGTCAGGGGAAAGACGGTGAGTGTACTATATATATATATATATATATAAAAGAAACCATGTATGTTTAACTGATGATATGGATTGTTCAGTTTGAGGTTTACCTCTTTAAAAAAGAATTTCACTCATTATTACATTACATAACTGTAAATGTTATTGTTTGAACCTTAAACGGCTTAGGAGATATTCATCACATGAAAAATCTGATTCCACTGTCTTACTTTTATACTATATACAGTATATTCAAACATCATTATGATAAAGTGTCACTCACTGACGTGTGTGTGTGTGTGTGTGTGTGTGTTTGTGTGTGAGCTTAGATTAATCTTGTTAAGTTAAAAGAGATTTAGTAAAGACTAAAAGGGTACGACATAAAGACTGTGTATGTGTGAAGCATAACATTAATTAACATCACCTTAGTGATGTCTCAGAGAACTGCAGTTACAGCAGTAACCCAACGTTAACCATAACAAGATCATTTAACAATATAACTACAATAAGTTGGGTGCTCCGTGTTCAACCTTCAACCTTATCAGATGCTCTGCTTAGTTTAGTCATCCAAAATGTCAGAGAGGAGCCCAAAAAAACACAGAAGAGGCACAGGCTATGACCTTTTGACATCCTTTATATTTGTAGACTTCACAGTGGCATGGGGAGCACTTTACAATTTCATTCCATTGTAAAGAAGGAAAATTCCTTCACACTATTTATTATATATGTATTTATTATTGCTTGGTAGGTGGTGAGCCTATAAATCAGGCTGGGTTGTGTTTCTGATGACAAAACATCTTTCGCTGTGCAACGTCCACTTGTTCAGGTCAGCTGGTTCTCTCTATGCACCGTTTCCCTGCAGAGTTAGCAGTTAGCAGTTAGCAACTCAGTGCTAATGTGCTTTGTTGCTCCTCTAAAGTCAGCTGGCAGGCTGTGTGTCTGTAGCCAGAACACTTTGTCATAATTAAAGTTCAGTTAAATTACACAACTCATATTTAGTTCCCAGTGGTCCCACCATGTTTCCTTTAACTGTGAGTCATTAAAGTTACATTAGATGACAGTTATCATATTATTCTCCTCAGTTTATCCATCACACGTGGAATGTCTTATAAAAATAATAAACTTTCATTCAGTAGAAATATAGACAGGCAATAATACAATTGTTACACAACTGTCCTTCACAGTATTCTCTGATTTTACCAGGGAGCCACAATGAAAAAAGAGATCCTCTTGAGCACTCTGGACGACCAGAGCAGTACACTTCCTGTGGAGGTGACCAAGCAGGTTTCAAACAACAGGAATGATCTACTGCAGAGTTTGGAACCAAAAGGTCAGTGACAGCAGTCATTCCCAAGCTGATGTCTGCCAATCAGATCTACAGCAGTGTAATCAGATATACAAAATGAACTATACTGCAGCCAGCCACCAGGGGCAGGTCGAGACATTCTGGTTTCAGTTTTGGGCAGCTGTCAGTCACAAATCTTTATATACATTATATACTGTATTATATACAGTCAGTGGTAAAAACTCTGCAGCTCTCTGTGTTTGAAAATGTGTGTTTATGGCTGCAGCCACTGTGGAATTTATGTTTTGTGACTACATTTCTGTGTTATCTGCTCTGCTGATGGTTTCTTGGGCCACGATGTTTAAGTGCAACTAAGGGTTAAAAACAGCATGGATAAGGTTAAAAGTTTAGGGTGGTTTTTATTCATTAAAGTAGATTTTGACTGACCGTGAGCACTATTTTCAGTAAATGTAATCTTTTTGCTGTTTGTGTTTGCAATGCCAGTAATCATGTTCCAGTAATTTATCAATAGGAATTCAAATAAAGTTATAGATATAATAATTCGTTTTTTTTGTCAATCACATCACATATTATTTTGTAGTTGGAATCTTTGGAGTTACACAGAGATCACACTCTAACTAATCAAATACCCAAGATCAGAATCAGAATCAGAAATACTTTGTTTGTTACAGCTGCTCAAGGTGCTCACACGACATTAAAGAATATAAATAATAATTAACCATATGTAATATAACCTACATTATGTAACACAGAGACATTTAAAAACCAAATGGAAGTGAAAAAGTAATTAACAAGCACTGATTAACTTAATGATACATAATCAGATTGAAAGTATGACAGATAATCTCTCTCTTTTAGGGTCAGTGGATGTCAATGATGTTGGAGAGACTTCAGAGAACAGAGGACCTTCCTCCTCTCAGACTGAAGCTGCTGTATTCTCTGGTATGTAAGGAAACCCTGGAAGACCAAGTGGAGTTTTTACAGTTGAAAAAATAAAGTTTTACTTTCTGTGAGAGACTTTGTGACTCCATTAATAATAATAATAATAAT